TAACAAACTATTAATTCATTTATCAGTATCGATGTAATGACTATGATTAGGGCCAATAAAATACCTGGGGAATATACTGGACCAGTACAAATTACCACGAACCTCGTGAATCACCTCGTCCACATATCTATCTAAAACAATTATCCCATAGTCCCTTAACTGTTCCCCGTAATTCATAACCAGTTGCCATTACAAATGCACCTCGGACACAATCTGGTCAATAGCCCGCTGTACCTCCCAGCCCTCGTGAGCCATAATGAGGTATAGGTAGCTGTATTTGCCCTGACCTTTGACCGCCTCTGACTTCACTGAATACACTTCGTTGACAAGTATGGAGTGCTTGGCTGCGGCCCTATTAAAGGCCAGCCATAAGGGATCGGTAGTCAAGCCGTACTCCATGGGCTCTAAACCGCTGCACAACTCCGAGAATATGTAGACCAAGTCGGCGGCGCAGTCCTTTTGTCTGATTAAATTAGCAAGGTGGAAATCTATTATAATTTAGTAATTAAATGTAGTGTATTAATTTGAAATGTAATGTGTACATTTATATTAATTATTGTGTTTATTATGTAATGGTTATTACGCTCGTAGAGTAATCATATGAATCAGGGAAAGCCAGACTATGATAAGTCCAAATGCAATTACATTGCTATGAATTACAATGAACTATAGATAATACATTGGTCAATATTAATATTTTATTATATTTTAATTATTATAAAAGTTAATAATTTTTAAATTAAAGTTATATTATAGGTTTAAGCAAATATAATGTAATAATAATAATAATAATAATACATAATTAAATTTCAAAGTATTTTAAATAGTTTATAATATAATCTTTGTTTTCAATATCATTCATTTTTTATTATTCAAAGTATTGACCACTGAGTTACCTAAAGTTCATTGTAATTCATAGTAATGTAATTGCATTTGGACTTGTCATAGTCTGGCTGTATTAATAAATCATTTTCATAAAAATTAAGATTAATATTTAAAAGTCATAAGGTTTTAAAAATATTTATTCATATTGAATTTATTAATACAATAATATGGTTATTATTGTATTATATTAGAATAATTCCCATCACTATGATAGATATAATAATAATTAATATATTCATAAATTATCTATATTTTAAATTTTTTGTTTAATTTGATAAATCATGTATTGTACATTAATATGAAATTGATATAAGCAAAAATATTTGATAAATATAAAATGCTAGATGTGAATTGTTATTATTAACATTATTATAATATTGAAAATATAAACTTAAATTATTAAACTTTATAGTTTTGAAATTATTTAATATTATAATAGAAGTTTGTAAACTTATTTTATTATATAAAAATTGTAAACTATAATCTTTATAGCATTTGTATTATTTATCAATGATAATTTGTTTGTAAATATTTTACAAACTATTTAATTAATACTGTAATATAAAATTAAAATACAATTTATATTATTAATAATGATTTATTTAAATCAATTAATTAAAGTATCTTTATTAAATAAAATCAGTTTAAAATATAAAGTCATTTATTAATCTTTTCTAAAACAACATTATTTATATCTAATTAATATGTTGTTTTTGATTAATTTTTAATTTGAGCAATTTTGCTGGAACAGATAATAATCATAACCAGATAACCCTGGTATGTTTGATACTTGTTGCTGGATATTCGACATTGTTGTGGGATTAATTGAATTAATGGTTGACTTACGACCATATAGCATGGCATTTTCTAATTTAAATTACACAAACATTATACAGTAAATACTTATTCACAAAACATGTCACCTGGCACACTTACCCTCTACACTATTACCATTCATCAATAAGCATGAATAAGTCAACAAGTAAGTTTGATAATCAGTGTCCAATATTAGTACTTGACCGTCTAAATATTTAAATAATTTTGTTTGAGCAACCTTATAACTTTAATAATTTTATAACTTACCAACATTATTACCAGGCACAAAATATACCAAGTTAAACTTCGCCGGTGACTGGGTAAAGGTGATGTTGCCGACATTTATTCTCAAGTTAATATTGGTGCTATTAGCGAAACAAGTTATAAATAGCATTTACCATGATACTATTAACAATATTTACCCTAAAGTCACGGATCTGAACTGGACATTAATTGTATTGTTATATCCCGATGATGTCAGGGTCATATACGGACATTTGACTGCGGTATTTGTATTATTAGGGGCGATTGACAATTCGTACCATTGCCCTAATAACTAGAAAATATTTTAAATGTTAGCATGTTAAGTTTAAGAGCATATATTAGGTTAATATTACCGAGGTAAAATTTGCAGAGGGCATTCCAGTTACATTAGGGCATTGGGTTAACGTGCCATTTGCGGTGGACCCAGTAGTCTGTGCCAAAGTGTAGGTATAAAATGTAACTGATAAAATAACGTACAAGCACAACATTTTTAATTTATAAAATATAAAAGTTAATTTTATATAATCAATAAAAATGTTTTTAATGTTTATACAGTATATTATTAACTTGTTAAATATTAAGTGCTAGTTTGGGAATGTTGTATTTATAGTTACAAAATTGTTTTTAGTCCCCTTGTTTACTTAATAAAATTTAACAGTGTCATTTGAATTTCATTTAACCGGATTTATTTTATTATTTTTTAGTTGCAATACCAATGTAATATCAAAAATAATATTTATAAATAATAATAATGTGTAATGTTTTAGAAATTATTGAAATAAAAATATTAATTCTAATTTCACAATTAAATTAATTTATCTAGGCAATGTAAAGAGCCCAGGTTAAAACATTATTTAAAATACTTATATAAAGTATGAACAATAGATTAAATTTAAATAATTATAAACAATTCAAAATTAAAAGTACTAAAAATTATAACTTTAAAATAGTTTAACACATTTTTGTGTATGGACGTGCATTAATATTATTGTATATAAAATTAATTAAGCATAAATTAATCAATAAAAAATAAATATAATCTATAATAAAATAATAAAATTAAACAATTAAAAATAAAACTGTATACTGTATAGAATATAATATATAATGTTAAAAATGTAATTATAAAATAAATTAATGGGTGGAAAAAGAATTTAGAATTATTTAAATTAAGCAAGGTTTTACAATTGGTTAAAATTTTAGTATTATAATTAAAAACACAATTTATTTATTTAAATTTTATTGCATTTATAAAGTCTTAAGAATTTCTGAGGTGGGGGCAGGTAGTCAAGTGCACACAGTTATATATCGTTTGATATTTGGCTATAGGCGAAGGGAAAGGTATGTGTCTATTAGTTGTATTCATTTATATAGTGATTTTCAACCATCAAAAATAATAATTAACAATAAATACAATAAATAGTTACCTAGTATAATTAAATTAAGCAAAAAACTTATATTATGCACAAACCTATAATACTGTATACTACTGTATATTTATATTTATATTAAACAAAAATAACTATGAATTGCATAAAAAACACATAGCCTTTTAATTAAATTCCTTGGGTAAAATTCTTTTTAAAAATAACATGGACTTGTATATCATATAAAACCCTAACTATATATGATTATTTTAGTATATAGCTTACACAAATAAACTACAGGGTATTAAATTAAATTAAAATTAAAGCTGTATTGCTAAATATAAGATAGTATTGATAAATACTAATTTCCTTATGCACCAACATTTTTTAAATTAATGTTTTGAATAGTAATATTAGTAGCATATATTTGTTGCTACAGTTTGTGTTAATAAATGACTAACTTTTATACATGTATAAGAATCATATCATAAATTAATTAAATTGAATTATAAATCACATTTAATTTACAAAAATTATACTAAATCTAACAATATTCAAACATTATCTATTTATTGCAAATTTACAATAGTGTTTGCAAACTATTTTAATTATAGATTAATTATTTAATTATAAATAGTTACATTTTTAATAAAGTCTAACAATTATAATTATTTAATTAGATTTATAATTATTTAAATATAATTTATATATTAAACAAAATAATTAAGTATGTTCACTTTATAATGTAAATCTTATAGATTTTAGTTTGGTAGACAATTCTGAGTGAACTGATAGTAACTGTTGGCAGATAACCCTGGTATCTTTCCCACTTGTTGCTGAATATTACTAAACACGGTTGAATTAATTGAGCTTATTGTCGTATTACGACCATACACAATTGCATTTTCTAAATAAATATAATTTTAATCATTAGAAATTGTATGAATAATTTTAAAAATAAGCATATTAATAATTTAAATTTTAAAATCAACTTACGGACAATAGTGCGTCCATTCAATATCAAACATGAATATGTTAGCAGGTACGTTTGATAGTCAGTGTCCAAGATGAATAATTGCCCACCTATTCAAAAAAAATATACATATTTAATGATTTAAATATTATGTAATGTTAAAAATTTGTTATAATAATAATAATATACTTACTAGAAAAAGTACCATTTACGAAAAATATAATTGACGGTGGTGATTGTATAATATAGGAATCTCCCATATTTAGACCCGATGACAAGTTGACACTTTTAATATAATAAATTCATGTAATGTTAATACAAGTTAATAATATTTAATGAAATATTTATATACTTGGTGTTTATAGCCATATACTCAAAATTAATTGTACTGTTATTAGTGAGTGAAGGGGTTAGAGAGATATACGGGCACCTAGCATTGGTGATTGAATTGTTCGGGGTGATAGCTAATTCGTACCATAGTCCAGTTAACTGTAAATATAGTTTAATGTTTATGATATTTAACAATTATTATATTATAAATAAGTCAACATATTACCGAGCTGAAATTTACGGTAGACACTCCCGTTACATTTGGGCATTGAGACAGAGTACCATTTGCAATGGTCAGGTTAGTCTGGGCCAAACTAGTCCCGTAAAATGTAATGGCTAAAATTAAGCAAAAGTTAAACATGTCTCAAATTGTCAAGTTTTAATTATACTGTATTTTAAAATATTTTTAACAATTAGTTTTTACTGTATTAGCTAATTGTATAAAGACATATAATAATTATTATTATAATAACAAGTTCGTTGTATTTCAAAATATTGTTGCCTGTATTTATACAAGTTTTTTTGTAAAAGTATTTATGCTTTTTAAATAAGTATTTTAAATATCATGATAATTTCAATAAGTCCGGGTCTTATTATAGAATAATTGTAAACAGGATTTTTTACAATGATAATAATATTGTTTTAATTGTTATAATAATATTTAATTGCTGGTTTTAGATTGTTGCATTATTAATTCATTTAGTCATCTTGTTTATTTTATAAAATATAAATTAGTCATTTGAATTTCATTTAACCGGATTTATAACAAAAATTAGGTTATTGCAATATCAATGTTTAATGCTATAAAAATTTTAAAAATAAATATACTGCAATAAAATTATATTTCAAAAAGTTAGTAATTTATTCAAAATGTAAATGAAAGTAAATAAAGTCATTTTCATTATATTAATATTTTGATAGTACTTTTCTACCTGGTTTCATTAAACAAAACCTATCATAGGAAATATGTTATAAATAAAGTTTCTCGCTCGTTTATCTTAACTGATATAATGTAAAAAATAATTTATTTTTTAATCTTAATTTAATATTTTAATAATATAATGTTAAAACTGTAAACCAGAGACCTCAAAAGTTGTTTTTTACAAAAAAAATATGTACAACATATTTAATTTAATTTATATAGATTATCAGTAGATAAAGTACTTTACAAACACAAATATAATTACTATTTTTACATATTTAAAGTAACCTGTAAATGTGAAATTTCTAGACATTTCTATATTGATTTTTAGTAGAGAATTATAGTTTCAAAAATATTCACGAAGTTAACTGATAGAAACTAATCGGATATATTTCTATGAGTTAGTAATTATTTTATACATAAAAATACTAAAATAAATGCTTTATTTAAAAATTACAGTTTTTAACTTGCAGTTAATATTTGACAACTCTCACTCACACTAATGTGTATCATATTTGTGAGCCTAACATTTGAAGGATATTAAAAATGTTTGAGAGTTTGTATAAATAATTTACACCTTACAAATAATTTAAAGTTTAAATTACAATTATAATTATTTGTAGCGATTCAGTGTAACATATTTTTATTTTAATCATAAAATTAACAAAACGTATTGATTTATAATTATTGGAAATGTAATCATTATAAATATTTAAAATACATTACCAATACCATGAAACACCATGTCCAGGTCCAAATTTTACATTCACGGAATGAATTGTAGTTATTATCATATTGATATATGATACATTTAATGA